AAAAACATAGCTGAAAGTATTAAATATAACATACCGTCTGGATACAGGAAACGTTGTGGATAAACTCCGTTCTCGGTTAACAACATATATCAAATCTCTCCATATGAAGAATCTATGAATCCATTTATAAACCAATTATCAATTATTGTTGGTATATGATTATGAGAACTTGGTTACTAATGGGACAAGAGAACATGTCTACACAAGTCCTAGCAGATGACTGACAAAATGTACAAAATAAAAATGCAAGTTTCATCACGTTCTCATTTATTCCACAACAGTTCTAAGCCTATTTCACATTATACACAAACAATAGTTTCACTGACCACTAATTTACACAGGTTGTAAAAAACTAAATAATAACCGATATATATATATATATATATATATATATATATATATATATATATATATATATATATATATATATCATTATTCATCAGTGTTACCAACTAAGGACACAGCAGAAGACGATGATCAATATTAACATGAAGATAACACACAGTAAATCGGTGTCATAACGGAAACAATATTTTTTTAAAATATCGCGAAGTAAATGCGTACCAATACATAATACATGCATACAGAGAGAGGAAAATGTACACGATTAACTCGGAAGTCTATGGTATATATATATATATATATATATATATATATATATATATATCAAACTGTGAACTTAAGGTCACAGATGAAATTATACCTTATATTTTTGGAATGAATCAACAAATAATCATCTTCATTACTCTAAGTGAAACTAACATGTATTAGTTCACTTGATATTGTTTTACTTGAATCTTCCCATTGATGTTTTAGGACTGAAATTGATCAGTCTCTTATTGGCATATGTGCATCAATGGGAAGATTCAAATAAAACAATATCAAGTGAATTAAACTTCAACCCATTGCACAAGCAAGTGGCTATCAGGACTCAGTAGCTAAGTGGATAACGTGATGGCGTTTGAAGCGAACGGTACTGAGTTCGAGTCCCAGAGTGAACATCAACTCTGAGATGCAGGTACATCCAGCTGACGAGTCCCAAACAGGACGAAACGCGCGTCCTGGATTCCACTGCTAGCCACTATCCATCTTTGCTTATAACATGTATTAGATTGTATACATCGTAGACTGATCTTCGTTAAATAATCACAGGAAATCGGGAAGCCTTGGATAGTTGTTTTTCTCACATTGTATCAGTAGTTATACATAGTTATCGAATTTATCGATAGATCTGATGGTCCACGAACCTATCTCATATAGAGGTCTTAGGTACAAGTCGCCAATGGATTTCCAAACGGCAAGAAACGAAATATCACTTCGAATGAATACCATATTATGAATTTCGTTGACAACAAATTGACCATATTTTTTGGATAGTAGCTACTACTAGAATATATAATGTTCACTTTGACCAATCCAGATCATCAATTTCATACAACCTACATCGACATGCTTGATTACTGTGGGACTCCATCCAATGTACCAACCACTTCAAACATCTAATTATTATTCACTAAACTAAAAAAACAACCGCAATCAATGACTTGTTAAACACGGTATAATTCACATCTTTAATTGTATTGATGTGTACTTTCCCAACACAAAATGCTCAATTCTTGAATGTGAATATTAATATACTAGAATTTCGGTATATCCAGGTGACATATCTCAAATCTCATTTATAATCACTATATTCGAAATTTAAACCCATTATATATAAATTTCTAGTAAATTATTTTCATTAATAAGGTCATTTTAAATAATTCAACATTTATTCAACTGAAATGAATGAAAAGTTACCCCTTTTGTTTTGTTTTTTTAATCAAAAAGGATTTGTTCATATTAAGAACAATGAACAGATTACACTTAAATGGCACACACATTGTATATATTATTAATTAAATCACAAATTTATGTTCGTAAAAACAACTGCCGATATAATTATTATTTCATAATGTGTCTTGTGGGCATAAATTTTGTTTTTAATGAGAAATATTTACTAAGCATTTTCGGCAAGACTAGAATTTATGGACGAACCAATCAGGTATATGATAACAGGTCTCGGATTTTGGCGCGAAATTCACTTATGCATTTGGATAAATAGAGTTCGTGATGAAAACCCTAAATCCAATTCCTAACCTTAATCATCAACTGTAAATCATAATTCTAATTCCTCACGTAGGATTATGACCATCATTTGGTCCTAGTTATTAGATGGACACTCTCAGCGTCAGTCGGGCGTCGCTCAAAGGTCGTTCATAAATTATAGTCTCACCGCATTTTCATTTCCAATTTACTACTAATTGGTTACAAATTAACCAACTGATGAATTGACTAAAAATCTCTAAACATGTGATTATCAGTAATTTTTTTAATAAAATGTAAACTTTATTATAATTTAGAAAAAAACTATTGGAAAGGCAAACTATGTTACAAGAACGATCAGCAAACAACCATTGAGATTTTGCATGAAATTTGAAATCAATAGCTTTTACATTTCAGTGTGAGGTATTGAATGCTTAATAAAAGTGTAATATCTAGCATTTTAGAGTATACAACTATTCATTTAAATGATGAGTGCTGAGTAATAAGAATATAACTTTCATTAGGGATTTCATTCCAGGCATGTAAAGGTGTCTACAAATTGTTTTATCAACACAACAACGTAGCGCATTCCAATCGGCCGAATGGAAAAAAACAGTAAAATGAAACCTGGAATTTGGAATGAAATCCTCAGCGAAAATCTTGCTTTTATATACAGCAATCGCCATTTAAATGAAAGGGAAAATGCCCGAGAATGCTTGATAAATCAAGCATATTAAAAATTTTGGAAAACACAGATCAACAAACAGAAAACAACTCTCTATAACTTATCACTAAACAATGAGTGATAGAAACCCGTATGCACAGTGTTCAAAATTGGAAGGATACATTTATTCGGTCACCACATGATGAAAATTACCATAATAAACGTTTCAAGTGTTCACCTTTCATGTACAGATTCTAGATAACAAACATGATGTTGTTTGCTTGTATCTTCCGATTGTTGTTTGGGACTGCAGTTGATCAGTCTCTTGTTGGAACATGTGCATTCTGTGCGGATCGCCACGATATTACCTTAATTCACAAGCTTTATAAGCAATGATGGATAGTGGCTAGCAGTGGAATCCAGGACGCCACTATCCATCTTTTCTTACAATCAATCTTTGTTTCAGTTCAGTTTGCTTATATTGAACTTTTTAAAAAACCACTCAATAAGTTTTTCAGTGAATATTCGACGAATCAGTGAGTGAAATGAGACATGATAACATAAATAACGATTTTTATTCATGAATTATTCTTTACATCAAAATGTCCACAATGATGTTTTTCTCTCATTACTACATCTCTCCGTAACTCTTAAGTAAATTTATGAATAAAGATGTTATAAATGATGTTGAATTTTCAGTAAAACTATGAGTGCGAAATATTCGGAAAAAAACGTATATTAATGTGAATGTGTTTGAATTGAAATATATGATGTAGTGTAGTGATCATTCTTCACAAATACGTTTGGAAAATGTTTAGTGATTCTTGAAAACCGAATAAAGTTTGTACGATCACTTAACTCAAACACAGCGTTTGTTACTTCAGTTGTGAAATACGTTTTATTTAAACAGACCGTTTGATATTTGGTTGAAAACTGACTTGAAAATTATGTGGTAATTTGAAAATCACTCTAGTTAGTCACCATACGATATTTTCTCCAAAAAATGTAAAAGTTTGTCTTTGAATCATCTTCACCTTCCTTTACATTCAAATGTTTGGTAGTAGTGATAGTTATTTAGTTATTAAAATAACTGTCAATATCTGAACGAAAAGAACTTTTTGGATCTTCTATGGTGTGACACGATTTTCTGTCATGTGATATATATTTTGATTTTAATATGGAGTTTAGAAAGTGTGGTGCCAATAATCTTAGGATCATACCATTAAAATACAATCACTTGGTATTTTTTTACTTGAATATTCACATTGATGTTTTAGGACTGAAATTGATCAGTCTCTTATTGGCATATGTGCATACTGTGTGTATGCCTCGATATTGCCTCAATTTACAAGCATTATAAGCAAAGATGGATAGTGGCTAGCAGTGGAATCGAGGACGCGCGTTTCGTCCTGTTTGGGACTCGTCAGCGTTTGAAGCGAACGGTACTGAGTTCGAGTCCCAGAGTGAACATCAACTCGGAGATGCAGATACATCCAGCCGACGAGTTCCAAGCAGGACGAAACGCGCGTCCTGGATTCCACTACTGGCCACTATCCGTCTTTGCTTAAAATACAATCAGGTTGTCATCTTTTCGCATAAATAATGATTCTGATCACAGATTTCAACTGATCAAGAAGGAGTGTGACTAAACTCGGTTTTTATGGTTAGAGAATGTAGCTGCTAAACTAAAAACAGCAGTGCTCATCCTTCAACTGAATTATAGTAGTCAGCTCACTAGTGACTTGAGACAAGGTGTTTCTGAAGATCTGGTGAGTAATCGTGAGGTTTGGACTTGTCAAATATGAAACGGTTTTTACAATTAATACTGGATGACCATCACGTTATGTTACGAATTGTACCAATGAATGTCAACTAAGTAGTCGTTACGATTAAGCACTCATAATGGGACGTGAATATCTTGGACGCGATTTTTGATTTGCTCGTCGGTGTGCATCAACATAAGTATGAACCAGGTTGTACGTTACTTACGACTGACTGACCTCACACATTACAATAAATACGCTTAAAACGAAGTATCCCATATTTAGTACACTTGTTTATAGTAGCTTCTAAATCTCTATCTGGCAAATTAAAAAATATTAAGTTTATTTAAAATTATTTAAAAAAAAGTTTCTTACTTACTCTATCCAAAGTAAAATTAAAACATACACATGAGAAACAAAATAAGTCATAATTATAGTATAATACTAACAAAGTGGTTAAACACATGCACACATAAAAAAACACTTACATGGTAATCCATAAACATGTAACTTGTAAAGACCTTTTACATTCACCGTAACATAATCAAATGTATAACTTTCTAAATCTGTAGTTGGACAATTATATTCTTTAAAATTGGCACCATCATTATCAGAACTAGCTGTCGATGTACAATCATTTTGAAAATTAATTATTTTCGTCAATGATTCCATACCACTGAAATGTAATGCTGTGAAAATAAAGAAATAAAAACAAGCGAGAAAGTGGTATAGAAATACAATTTTCGATGTGAACAATGTAAAATAAAGTAAGCCAACCGATGAGAATTAAGTGTATTCTCATTGTAGAAAGAAACCACATTTTTTTATTAGTTCATGACCACTAAATTTTAACGATTCACACGATTACTGTTGTGAAAAATAAGATTGAATAATTCCGCAGTAACAATTTATCGATATGATTGTTTTGTGCAAAGAACCAAACAAACAAAACAACGTGGTAAATGTTTAGTAAACAATAATCAAAGGAGACCATAGTAAAACCGAAAAAAAAGGGATTATATAACAACTGGTTTCACATGATAGACAAATAAAAAATGCACGATAATCAATGATCAGACTTAATAATACAAGAAGCCAACCAAGTTTATAGTGTTGTCTAGTCTTTTTAAATGAACTACATTGTAGTAAGTATAATTCACCGGAAACTAACTAACCGGAGTGTGTAGGTTAGAAATAAGAAACAAAATAGTTAAGTTCACCAGCGTTGTTAGATACATTGGTTGGTTTTAACATGAAAAATGATCTGAATACTCTTAGAATGGATGAGTGACTATCTTACAGTCATAAATATACAAGATATTTATTAAGAATTGTGTCAATAAGTAAACGTGTATATAGACCTCTTATTAGTTGGCATCTGTTAACAAACATATATAAAGCTGGAATTTATCGCCATGACAACCAAACCTGGATTACAGTGTAACAGTCTGAGATCCTACCACTGATGTAATCGCGTTACATTCGTCATTATTTAGTAATGATGTAATGCATATAATTTATGTTAGGTGAAGGTAGTTGGCAGAAAACCGTATGGAAATGATTCCCCTTACTGAACCCATATATTGGAGCCGCAACCTGTAGCGTCTCAAACTGTGGGACTAACTAACCCAGATTCACGTCGTAGAGAGATCACCAATTCTATAGGGTTTCACGACATTACGCGATCATCTCCCGTTGTCTTCAGTTGTTGTTCTCCTCACACTCGATACAGTTGAATTCTACTAGTTACGGCTTCTGCTTAGAACTTTGGAAATTTCCCTTCGAAGCTAGTCACTGAAAAGCACGTAGTAACTATCATTATGAATGTTTCCGAGATCGTTGAATATTATAAAGATCACGGAAGAACTGTACAGCTTTCTCATCCTAGTACCTGACTCCTCAGCAGTAGTCATCCACGATTCGTGAACTCATCAATCTTCGCAACATTCATACCTGATAACTATATATATATATATATATATATATCAAGTTTAACTCCACCACCTGTTAAAATGTTCTACTTTTCCCAACTTTAAAATGTGGAAAAATTAAACGATATGACACTGATAATATTATGTGACATTAAATTAGCCTACTGACATGACATATACATTTTTTTATTGTAATGAAATAAATTTGTAACAATACATGAATACAATTTTGTAATAACAGATGAAAAGTACATTGTTTCAGAGAAGAGAACAATTCCGTCTTACATAAAGTAATAGTAGTAGCCTTAGTCCTGGTTAAATTTTTGAACAACAAAAATAGGACACACCATAAATTTAAGTATCTATTTTTATGTGAACATAATATTTATGGTTGGGTTTGTTTGTTCATTTATTTGACAAGAATAAAAATGTCAGTTTTTTACTTTGAGGACCAAAACAAAAACTTATTCATAAAAGAAGAGAAAAGAAACACGTATGATAATAACCGGATGTTGTTTCGTTTTTCTTCCTTGTTTATCAGTGGTCACTGATGTTAACCAGCAACAGTTTAACTTAAGTTAAAGTGAATAATTTTTTATATACATGCTGAAAACTTCACATTACTGTTATTACTGCACTAGAATTAGGTAAAAGTTATTAAATCGATCGTTATCAATACAACTGTGATAATATTATGATAATATGTATTTGTGATCATAGTGATAATACAGAGATAAATCTACTAAGATGAATATATGGAGAATGGTCAATTGAGATTTTTAACAAGAATAATTGAAGAAAAATCGTTTACAAATGAAATATTGCACGTTGAATAAGCTAATGACTATTTGGATTCAATATCAAAATGGATAACGTGTTAAATGTATTGATGCTAAAAGGACGAGATTCGAGTGTCGATATGAATATCAACGTTGGGCATGTAAGTACATATAACTGAGACAAAAAAAAAGAAGAGTGAAACACGCATCCTGCATTACACTGACAGCCATAATCTAACTTTATAAGACTATGAATTCTAGTTTATTATTTTAATATTGTTTCAAAGTTGAAATATCCATTCATGTTTATCAGTGAGTTTATGAATTTTTTAATAGTATTGAGCGTTTTCTTCGATTAGATATTTGAACGTTCAATATTTTCATGGAAAACAAAGACAATATTAATTTAGTAAGACAAATGGAACTTTATGGGTTTTCTTAAGGCTGATACAATAGTTTTCTCATATGAGTTTCATACATCTGTTGTCCTTAAGAGTTACATAATTCTCTCATTCATTCTAGTTTTCTACTCGTAAGTTCAATGTTTGGGCTAATTTACTTACGTTTATACTACTATTACTTTGGATAATTTGTTATCCATCCTGATTTGTGTGATAAAATGGGTCGAGACTCATGTTGGTTAGAGTTGACAATATTGTCTACTTGTATATTATTCGTAGGTATATTGTTTAAATTATGATCTAAGCCGAAGTATATTTGTAAAAATGACAAAGAAATTACAATATTTTAAATAATTTTTGCTATTGTTCGAAGCATGTATCATTCCAAATGATGTATATCGAAGGTCAATTACTTTCTTCGTTGATAAATGTAGTACAGTTGAGATAAACGTTCCCACGTAAAATCACAGATATATGTATTGTAATACGGTATATATTAGGTAATATGCTGATTTTATGCCTTATCAACTGACAAGAATTCAGCACAAATCTGTTCTTGAGTATACTACTTTAAAATTGAGCTTATATTAAACTGAATATATTGACATCATGTTACTAAGTCAATCTGTCTTACAATACGCGTAGTAAACTTCTTAATATCAGTAATTTAACTTAATGAACCAACTGAAACTAGATGAACCAGTAAGAATCAATGAACACTGGACGACTGTTTTATTGTGAACATCCATCATACCGTCAGGGAGCAAAATATGAATCAATTGGATCTCATGGTGACGTTTTACGACCAAACCTTAGAGGTTGATGAAGTAACACTGTCCATGAGATTTGTATGAGGACAAAATAGTGGTAGGATTCCCTCCCTTCTTCATATCCAGCTAAAATCAATCGACTATGTCAACCATGGTTAAAAGCTTATATTTTTCATTATTTTTACAAATTAATGAAGTAGTTCTTTTGATTTTTTTCTCATCTCTTTGTCTTTACATTCCGTATCATAATTTACATGTGACAAACAAAAATAAATAAACCTTGTAGGTAGTTCAGTTGTTCGGCTGAGGTCAACACTATTTCATTTTATAATAATAGAATGTTGTAAGAGAGAAATTTGTACAAGTATATTTCACATACACTAATCAAACAACCGATACAAAACTTAGTAGTATTGTGAATATGATATATATAGTGCTAATCGTTAAATTATTTCCAATCTGAAATCAAACTGAAGGGTGTGACATGCAAAAGTCTTACAAAATAAATAAATGAACAAACAGGTGTATTTAATAAGTATATACAAATTTTGTGTACACATTCTTAAACCACGCCTATTGAAGACCATTTATATGAGATAATATTATGGTTGAAACATTTGAAAGAACAAAACAAATGATTTACAAATTCTATAGATCATAATATAGGTGATTTAAAGTTTATACTTAAACATATGGCTATCAGTCAATACATAGAAAATGTCTAGTATATCAACGTTCCACGGTCTTTTAATTCAGATACAGATGTACACATTACCTAAACGTTTACCCAACCTGGTGTGAGAGTGAGAAGACTAAGAATGAAATGACAGTCGGAGTTAGAAAATTGAATAAATTATATTTAAATCATGGGTATACATATATACAATGTGTACTTCCGATCCATACAAGGAAATGTAAACTAAGATGTTATGAAAGTGCCAACAGTGTACCTTATCATCTCTCATTTACAACTTGGTCCTGAAACATGTGAGTACAGCCACGAGGTGAGTGTGGTTTCGCCCAGTCTATAATAGGACCTACACAAATATGTATCATTCAGTATTACCAAATCACACATTATTATAGCAAAAAAAGGAAACTAGCAGAAGATATAGCCCTATTGGTTGGATTCGTAAAGTAACTTGATGCAAAAATTTGAGGAAGATAAATAATGCAGTCTAACTGCGCTACTGAAACTGATTGTCGTGTCATGTTACCCAACATGTTCAACCATAGAGATTAGAACTATTGCACAAAGTTTATTATCGCAAGTATTACATCCATGAATATTAGAGCAATAGTTAACGAGTGATTTCGTGAATTTATAACATTTCAATCATCTGATTTCCTCTAGTATCACAATGTATAAGCATCATCTCAAAGATATGATAGCTCGATGTGAACCTACTTCACACAAAGATAATTTACAGTGGTTTATCAGCTAAAATTAGCTAATGAGTAGCATATTCAACGAATCTTGTCTCATCATCTTATAAAATGTAGAGAATTGGATAGATATTACTAGTTTTCATACAAAAAGGATAGGTAATAGCTCAATTAACATAAATCTATGCTTGATAAATAAATAATTCTAAATTGAATCGATTCTTTTATATTTATTCCTATGTTCCAAATTGAAGAAGTATGGACTGAAGAACTCGTAGAAGATGCTTGTAGATTGATATATAAGCTCATCGTAAACTTCATTGTTTTTATTACCATATCTTTTCATCGTTGAATTCATGAACTTATTATAGCTAGACCATTATTGGAAACCTAAAATCAATGGACGGCCGTTTCTTCAAAAGATGGCAATCCTAAGTAGTGGCTATCCACGAAACCGGACGCAGGAATCGGACCCAAGACTTTCGGTTTCGTGCGCAAACGCTTAATTCCTGTACAACTGAGCTGGCATCCAACGGTGTTAATGCTGAATTTCAGCCAATCCATGATCTTGCGTAACCCTTCATCTATTGCCTGTAGTGGATAACCGTCTCACACCCGACATGTATTGAGCTCCACTGGTTATGGATTCTCACTATAACTCCATGAGTTATAACTTAAAGTTAGTCCTTGTTATTTGGATTCTATAGGATACATATTATCTCTTCCCAATTTTTGTTTTAATTTAGGATGAGTCAAGTGAATTATTGTGGCCAGGGTATACTAGATAGTAAAAGACCATAAAACTTTGGATCTATGAAACATAGATAATGTGTGAATGTTATCCAATTATTTTAAGACAGGTGTCTTTGAAACATTTCTTATGAATGATGAGATCAACGAATCCGTAATGCTGAATTGAAATATAAAGTTCAGACTTAACCAAGAACAGTAATATTTATATACTTTGTTGTTCTTTCGTTGTACAAATTTATCAGTCGACCAAGCTGTATTAATTATGACTTCGAATAAAACTAGGGATGGGTGAGTGAAGTATATAAGTGATGTTATTCCATGAATCGATCGACTGTCGATCATATTCAAGGTTTATAGATGTAGACTTCTTACTTAAACGTATAAAATAGTGTATATACATGGATGTGCAAAACAGATCACATAAATAAACTTTCGTTAACTCTTTACCTCCATCTATAAAATTCGGTCAGCGCTAAGAAAATCCAGAAAAATAAGAAATTGCTCACTACTCAGTGATTAATCAATTCTACTGGTTGGTTCCTCGTAAAACTTGAACTTCGTGTAACTCTAAACTAGTTTATTATCCAATTTCATTCATTCTTTAAGAAATTTATTGACGATACCCAGAATTTTAATGCAGCTAATGATATTATATCTCTCTTATATTGTTACGCATTATAACAGTAAGCTAACTGGTGAAATCACGTAGTCATCAACAGCTCACTGACTAGAAAATTAGTGTTTTACGTGAATTACATACTTAATCGATTCTCTGTGATAAGTCAATTGTTCTAAATGAAATAATTCCTGAATTAGTAGTCGATAAATGAGAGACTAGTGTAGGATAAGGAAGATGGTGCCAACTTTCCACCTACTAACCAATATATCAAATAGATGTATAACTCTACTGCATTATAGTGATATTCTTTGTTGTCGAATTGCTAAGGCGATCAAGGGATTACTTAATTTGTGAAAATAATACTCAAGTCTTACTAATAATAGTAATCACGAATGCTTTTTTACCCACTCAAATTTTCGCATAAGCTTCGCTCTTTTCCATTTTGGTCCCACTACTTTCAGTGCGATAATTTTCTGTACACCTGAAGATCATGCTGTCGTCATTATACATACAAAGCTGAAGTACTATTTCAAGTTGTTCTATATGAATATTAAGTTTTTCCTCACACTTCATTTTCTTCTTGTGTTAGCGGTTAGTTTTTTAAATGTTATGTATCAACTACCGTTATCAACTCAGGAATAGAACTGTTCGTACCAAGAATAGTTCACTAGTTCCTTAATTCCTAAGTATCGTAGGCCGACTGAAAACCGAATATTCTAGTCGTATTTATCAGATATCAAAATAATATGAAAGTGAAAATTCTTTCCAGTTTGATAGTTGACTATGAAAGGAAATAATAATATGAAAAAGAACTTAAGATTAGTCTTGAACTGTTTGTCTATTATGTGCCCAAGTGTTAAAAATCAGATGGAATTGATTTTTCTCCATTCAGTGTAGTTACCTATAGTGGAATAGTAGCAAACACACTTGATTCGAGACGATTATGGCAAAAAACGTTGACACTGGTTACAATCGATTTGAAATAATTCATGGAATAATAGCTCTTGACTTTCTGTTAAGAAATGAACTTAAAATAAATTACAATAAAAGAAAATTGAAATAAGAAGTTTTAAAAATAATCTAAACAGGTGCAGTTATCGATTATTAATGTGTTTATTTTTCAGAGTGAAGGAAACTGTGCCGGAAAGTTAGAATTTCTAGCTAGTGCAACAGACTTCATATAGTCGTCTACAAGTATCAAATGGCATAGCTAAGAATATGATTGGAGGTAAATATGAAAAGCTTTTTCATACCTTGAATACTTTTCATCCTATGTTAATATCAGCTGTAATTGTATACAATCACTATACATTCACGACACCATACCAGACCATATCTGCTAGGTTGATATAATTGTCAGCCTAGCCTATCCTGATGACATATCCTAACTGTATTGACTGGAACATTTAGCTTTTTGGTCCTACCATCCCAGGGGGATAACTTGGAGAATAGTAAGTTTTAAAGTACCAAACTAGGGTCTAAGGGACACGTCTTACTGTCTGTTGCGACGGGTTGTGACGAAAATAAAGTGTTTCCTTCAGACAGTGTCTCTTATGATCCAGCCTTCCCATTAGAGAAAGAGTAGGTTAGGATAGGTCAACATAAAAAATACCCACCGTTGTCATACCCTCCAAGTTTTCACTACCAATGGTAAAGACTTTAAAGCATGAAGCTAATGAATCAACAAATATTTGAAAAAATCCTTTTGTGATCAGCCTCAAACAGTTGTCCCTTGATCTGTGTGAGCAAGTTTTCATGTCTTCGAAACCACACCTTATCCCGTTTTCTTTTCAGGGCCATCAGAAAGAAATACCCTTGCACTGTGTGAGCAACCGCGAAGTAACATCTGACCACACACTTTTAACAGAACTCAAGATTGCCTTGTTATCATTAAAACCTTGTTAATATTAAATAATGATACTAAAATATTGTTTTAAATAAAACACACTTCACTTACTATACTCGTGTGGCATATCATCTTGTTTTGATGTTACAAAGTGTACACTTGTTACTGAATATGTTTTTCCAAAATAAATTGTAACATTACGATCATCAGTAGCTACTAGTGCAGAACTTTCTGTCACATTACTTTCGTCATTCAAACGCCATAATAATCCACTACATGATTCCATAGATTCCGCAGGAACTAGATGATCGACATATGGCTTAAACAATGTAATATCATCTAAACGATTAAAAAAAAGATTACAAAAAGGATGAATGGTGTAAGTGAAATGTAATTATCTGTTAAGTGTTCAGTTTACGAACCGAGATAAGGACTAAGTATACAACTAGATGCAATAAAGCATAAAAGGTGATCCCACAAAAATTAAAATATTCTAGACTCAATTGCATGAAATCAAGAATAAATTTGGGAGGCGGGAATTAAAAAGCTGCTCAACTCACGGTTATTGAATTAAACGCATAGTTTTGAATGAACTTTACACTAATATTCATATCTCTTTAGAATTAAAGTTAAAAAAAACACATGTATACAGGCATCTTATCAATCATCAAACTGAAGTGAATTATATCATTCACCTATTTACTACATGTATAAGTGAAACTAGGACGTTTTAGATAAGTTGATAAACTGAAACCTGGTGCTACCGACTTTGACTTGGACAGTCAAATAATAATAGTATCAGTAAAAATAATAGCGTTGTTTAACGTTAGAAATTTTTTTACAGTGAAGGAATTATTGAGATGAATTTTGTAACACCGCAGCACATTTCGCTTCCATGTACATTTCAATTGTAAATAATTTAAAAAATGTCTTGTATGTTTTTATTTTAATTTTCATTATCTGCTCGTTATTTTTTAATCATGAAAGTTTGGCATTAGGTTGACTGACTTAACTATATTTCTCACGAATTGTATATTGAGTGCATGCATTACATCGTAATCGTTTCTCTTTACTTAAAGAGTAGAGAGGTTAGATGATAGATTAATAACTCTAGTGTTTTCATTCGAGTTCATGGTATAGATAAATTTTAATTTATTTGATATGACGGGACGATGGTCGCAGATATAGAAGAGGGGACAGGTAGATAAACAATGACCACCCAGTTAAAAGTGGCGACGCGAATTTACCAACTTCAATATAAGTGTATGGTTAACATTCATCATTATGTAATATAAACAAGATTCATACATAAACGTGTGACCCAAATTGTACAAAGTACACGAATATGTACATGGTTATTGAGTTGCATCATACTTGAAGTGAACATAATCGAATGTTCCTGGAGGAATAATTAGTCTTGTTATGCAGTAAAACCATCGTTTATTGTTGTCACTTTTCAAATGGTCATTTAGCCTAACGTCAATACACGATGTAGAATATCGCTCGAAAAATTACATTGGTCGCTGATTATCGATCATTTTGATTATTTTTCTTGAATAAGTGATAATCATTTAATACCAGAAGAGATTTTTGTGGATATTATAGTAATTTTAATGGTTGGGATCATGTGTCAATTAAAGCTAGACCACCATGGAAAACTTGAAAGCACTGAACGGCCGTTTCGTTCTATTGTGGGATTCCTCAGGAGTGCGCATTCACGATTCCAACCCGGGACCTGTCAGTGTCGCGCGCGAGCTCTTAACCACTAGACCACTGAGCCGGCATCCAACGGTGTTAATGTCCAACTTCAACTAATCTATGAAATTGAGCGACACTTCCACGATTGTCATCAGTGAGTTATTATCTGACAACAGACCCGGTTGAACCCCATCGGTCACTGCTTATCACTAATAATCATTTGTCCTGCACTTTGAATTAGTTTCAATTATAAAATTTCAAGATTAAATGATCTTAGAACTGTATAAAATTCTACCCATTCTCAACAGCACAACAGCAACAGACATAACAATGAAGAGTGAGATAATTACTACTTATGTTATTAAATTTGAGAAATATGTAGTCAGTCAAAAGAATATGGAAAATGAGATTATGAAGACTGTATTTCATAAACTTCACGATACATAAATGGTCGAGGCTATGATTTGTGAACGATCTTATAGAGATAATAAAATGCTCTTGAGAAACTTCAACCATTTTATAGGGTGAAAATAGAGTCATACAATAGTGTAAATTAGAATCGGGAGTTAAATATAGAAGTTAGGGTTGACAAATAATACTAGGATGTTCATCACGAACTGGCATCAACTATAATGTCTAAACGTTATTTACCTGTGTGGATGAATGAATTTCGTGACAAAAATCAAAATTCGCTACCTTATATCTGATTGGTTCATTTACGAATTATAGTACCACCTATTAATCGTATCCCCTTCAAAAACTTCCTATTTGTGACAATACATTCGTCTTATATTCATTTCCACTGTTTGATAACATCCTTGGTAGTTCTCAGACCCCTGAATATCTAGTCGTCTTGTTGTTTCACATGTGATTATTTATCCACACGTTGTACCCAAGTCAACCACTCATGAACATTTTGCCTTTCGATAACAGATCTAGAGTTTTTAACTAATTATTTCTGATATCGTAAGGACACAAGAATGTTGAAAATGTACAATTTATCAAAACTCACTATGTTTTGATTGGAATGATGAAATATATTGCTTGATCTGGCAGTTAAACTACATTTTCATTCTCCCAAAAACGATTCTATATCCAAGTAGATAAGTATTGGATTGGTTTAACATATAGAATATTCGACTATCAAGTTAATTTCTTCAAGTTTTCAGAGTTATATCTCTCTAAAATTAAGAAGCTAGTCAACTAACTAGTAAAGAGATTCTAATTTGCTCTTCCGAACTTTCATTCATTTATTCATTGGCTGACTCGTGTATGTATGAAACTGCAAACAGAAAAATTATCAAAATCTTAATTCTACGTTGCGCTTAGTCGTAATATATCCAAAGTTCCACAAATGTAATCTGTCCGGCACTTTTACGCACCTTTCTATTTATTGAGTAGATAAGTACTGTTAAAGTGTAGTTTCCATCAGAGTTCATTTCAAGCAATAACGTTACCATAGAATAGACGGAATGTGGCTAGCAGTGGACTTGTTGGCTGCATGTACCTGCATCTTGAAATTAATGTCCACACTCTGGGGTTCGAACCCAAATTTCACTTAAGATATCAATAATAGGATAATAATCTAATACATTATCAATTAGGTTAACTTTACGATATCTGTATTCTTACATCCACTTTGTTGGGCTGTTACATTGATATATTCATTGTAGACAGTTACAGATAACTCTAAACTGTTAAAATGAAATCACCCATGAAAAACTTCACTCTTACAACATACTGAATTCACTAACTAAATGAACGATAGAATAACCAGCAGTGCTTGATACATACAACAGTTACTGGAAAATATTTTATCTCAACAAAATTATTACGCACAAGCTGATTTTACTGCTGTTCAAATGTATTTTGACATTTTTTTCCAGCTTATTGATTTGTTTTGTAACTGGCACATTTAACAATACACTTATCACTACATTGTAATGAGTGAATGAATGAGACAGTTTTCGAAATTTTTGACAAGTACCAAATTAATTTTGTCTAGAACAAGGTGTATATAGAACGAATTTAGAATGAAGGTCACCTGTCAGATGTACGCATATATAGTACTTGAATATCTATAAATATTTATCACTTTTTCAAGAACCTACTTAAGAACATGATAAGGAAAGTAGTACTCGTGTGACATTATTGATTAATTAAGAAACGCAGAATTCAGTTAAATAATGAGAGCATGTAGTAATAAGGATAATAATCGCTTGTGTATGTGTGTGTGTTTGTGATTTGTATGAATAAATACAGACATTTTTTCTCAAGCAATAATTTTACTCCATCCACACTCCATAATTAAACCACAGAAATTAATCAATACACTTCGCCAGTTGTGTAATCTCTGTATACATTTGTTTATATAATCATCAGACACAAAGAGAGAGATAGAAAGAATCTATGGCATTGTAGTGTATACAAATATCACACTGTTTGTAATGTAAAACTGTATGATAAGGTTAGTGTATATATAACTGGATTTATGTTCAGACTCTAACATTGAAATGTGTGGGGTAAAACTGTTGAAAAGCATAGTAACAAATGGTCATGACCTTATATTTAATTAATTAAACTTGAATATGTTGTATAGATCACGAACTGCGATCAGGTTAAACATCTACTGAAAACTATAGAGCAACGAACAGCTTTTTTGGCTCATAACATAAGTCTATTAAGCAGCATTTACCTACGTTCCTGTTAGACTTCACTTGACGAATCCGTTACATTTCAACAACTGAATTGTTTCACATATCTAATTTTAGTTTAATTGTGGTACTGAGCAACTATCATTCTATTAGCATGGGCGAAATTCGCTTCATGACCGAAACAGATGAATCCCACTCGATTATAACTTGTTGGTAAAATTCTAGGAAATATTTCTGAAGTCAGTCACCTGTGTGCATATGCAAATTATTAACAGAAGACGGATAGAATTTGTTCCGACTGGTTGACTGTATAAATGAAAGATCGTTGTGATTTCAAATCCACAATTTTTTGAGTTTCCTTATATCACCTGCGTTTATTAAAAACACATTTATTTTACGCCGTAACTTATGAATAATTTAAATCAATCATTAACCTTATTGTTGACCATGCTATTTATGTATATATGAATAAGAAATATAACCGGAAATTACATTCCTAGACGACTGATATATACACCGTTTACGTCAACCAAAGCATTCAGTGTTTAATTATCTTTTGAATCGCATGCACGTTATTTCTCTGTTATTACTTTTTTGATTTCCATAAATCAGTGATCATAAGAATTTGTGTAGATAAATCTAAGCCCTCATTAGCATCCAAATGCAGTCTCTTTATTGGCTTGGATATCTACCGATCAAACAAATGACCTCTTCAACAGATGTTACATTTTTTAATCAGCTCATTCTTCTGAAGATTACGCTTAATTCCAAAAATATGGACAGCGTAGAACCTAGTATAACTGTGCGTACGTTCAAGTTTTTTACTGCTTGTCTTACATTTATACAGAGAGAGAGATGTAAGGTGGTGGTAAGAGGTAGACATAGGTTTTATGCTATCTGGCACTCATCAGGATGGTGTACCTGTAGTCTTGACGACTTCATTGCGGGTCGAATACAGAAACTTTCGAACTAGCGTTGAGCGTTGAC